GAGGGGAGTGAGGGGCAGGAGCTCTGTTTAACCCTGCCTTGCCTGTGCCATGCACCTCCAAGACAAGAGGAAGGACCCTGAGCCACACAGCTGGGAAGCCCAGCCTGGCTCAGCCAGACCCTGCTTTCCAAGTAGCCACATGCAGAAGGGAAGTGATGGAGGATAAGGGTGGGGAAGCCTTGGGAGGGGAACTGGGGACTGGTTGGTCAGCTGGACCTCCCTGGGTCTGGTGGAGTTACCTGGGCACCACACATGCACCTTGAGTGAGGGCACAGAGAGGTGTGCCTGGTGTGAAGCAGCCCCTGTATCTCCACGTGTCACCCCCTCCTGAGCTGTGAGCTCAGCCTTTTCAGCCCATGTGCTGAGACTAGCAGGAGAGCAGCCTGCTGGCATGAGAGCAGAGGCAGAGCTGGGCAAGGGAGAGACGTGCAGAGCCTGGAATTTCAGTTCTGACCCAAGTTGTCCCCTTGACTCAGCTTCCTGATCTGTACAAGGCACGTCTCATTCTATGATCACCTGTGATCACCTGTGATCGTAGATGGGCTAGAGAAGATGGTAAACTGACCGGCCCTGTGCAAATGTTCAATGCGTCTGGACTGCTGAGGTTCTCCCCCAACTCCACACTCTCCTCTCGTGGTAACAGTGGCCCATCTGCCTCCTGTCTTCCCCACTAGGCTGTGGCTACATGAGGGTAGGACCATGCCTGCCTCGTGCCCTGTTGTGTCCCTAGCACTTAGCCCAGCGTCTGCACGGAGGAGGTATAAGATACATACATGCTAAAGGAATGAATGTTGAGGACCCAGAGGACTGCCCCCTTCCTCCCTGCACCACCTCTTCCCCTCCCTCTGCCCTTGATCACCATTCAACTCCCTGCCCCCCAGCCCATGGCCAGGCACCAAGAAGGAGGAAAGACATTTACTAGAAACAAACATTTTATTAAAATGAAGTTTGGCTACAATTAGAAAGTAGAGGCAGAGAATGAACAATTGAGCTTCCCTCTCACCCATCACATAATCCCTGTCATCTTTTCCCACCCGCATTTCCAGTCCCCACCCAGCAAGGCAGATACGTGACCATCTGCCCAACCCTAAAAGGAGTCAGAATACTGACCCTGGTGGGGTGGTGTCAAAAGCCTATGGGTGTCTCTATAGGGCATCCAGAAAAAATGAGAGACACCCCATGGCTATCAAAACATACCCAAAAAAATCTTAAAAATTAGATTTCCCAACAAATTTGTGGGACCCCAGGGTCAAGCCTCCCAGCTCTGGCTGCCTCTGCTGGGCTTCATGCCTGTGGGGAAGGGACATGGGAGGAAGCAAGGCCTGGCATTCACAAGCCAAGCTGAGGCCAGAGTGAGGGAGGGATACAAGGACCCAGCTGGGGAACACTGCTGTTTAAATATTAAACAGGGCTGTCTTGTCTCCCACATGGGAGATTTCCTGATGCTTCCAAGGGTCCCAAGTTGGGTACCCTCAGGTCGGGAGTTCACTGCAGGTCTTCACAGTGCCCACTATAGTCACAGGAGTTAATACTTGGTATTTACCTACCTACCTCCCAGTCCAGGGGACAGGAAGACAGGAGCTTTTTCTCTCTGCTACAGACAGGAGAGTAAAACATGGAGGTGGAGGCAGGGGCCCAGGAATCTGAGGCTCCTTTCCTGTTCCCTGTCTTTAAATATTAGGTTTAAATAAACATAAATATTAAATAGAGATAAATACATTGGGTGGGTAGGGTTTTGCTCAGGGCTCAGCAACATAGCGCAGGACACGATAGGCCAGCTCCAGGAAGTTCTGCAGGTTGGAGGCAACCAGTACACCTCCTGCCCTGCGCTGGAAGGCCGAGGTGAACATTGGCACAGTGCTCTGGGTCGCCTGCACAGCAGGGGCCATCCCCAGGTCTTCCATCTGTGGGGGAGAAGACAAGATCAGCAATCAGGCCCCCATGAGTGGGTGTGGTTATCGCAGATGAGGCAGATCCCATGGCTAAGACAGGGCCAGGACCTGAACCCAGGTCTGTTCTGAGGGCCCATGATGTGATCCCAATACTGCCCTCAACTAGGGTGTGTGTGGGAGGGCCAACAGCAAGAGGGTCCTGGGTTGGGGGTGGCAGCTCCCTACATTCAGCCCCTCACCCCCCAGAATGCTCCCACCAACCCCTAAAGAACTTCCAGGACCCCCAGGCTTCCAGCATGACCTTTAGGGACCTGCTGGGTCTGCGTCCCTAACACATGCCTCTCCCAACTGAGGCTCACCTGCTGCCAGATGTTGGTGGCAAAGTCGGTGATGTCCAGCTGAAGCATGTCCAAGGTGGGGGCTAACTCGGGGGAGATTCCTGCCAGGGCCTGCAGGAGGCCCTGGTAGAGGAAGAGGCCACTGTGGAGTTGTCTCAGGCAGCCTGTCTGGGGGAGATGGAGTAGGAGAGTTAGGGGGTGCTGCCTGGGATGTTCCCCTCAGGGCCCCAGCTTGGAGCCTGGAGGTGGGTGCGGCGCTTCCAGATCATCCTTCCCTCCCTCCCCCCTCTCTCCTCTCCTCTAGATACTTACCAGCTGCAGGGCCTGGCTGGAACAACTGCCCAGGGGAACCTGGGGGATGCCCAGAGAGTGACTGAGCAGCACCAGCTCCTCGGGGTGGCACAGCTTGTGGGTAGCACACTGGGGATGAGAAAAATGTTGAGTGCAGGGGAATTGATAGGACCAAGCTCTTCCTTCCCATCTCTCTGAGGTCTTCCTCTCCCTCCATGTCCTGCCAGGCTCCTCAGCCCCATTCTGCCCTCCACTTCCATCCCAGCCAGCCCCTCCCAGCACAGTCCCCAAGAGGTCCTCTTCCCCCAGTTTCTTCCCAGCCGTTCGGGGCTCCTCTTCTCCTAACCTTTCTTCCATTTCCCCGTTCCTCTCCTCTCTCCTGCTCCTTCCTGATGTCTCCCCCATGCTTCCCTTCCCCTCCCTCAGCTCTCCACTCTGGGTCCTCTTTCCTCTACACCCGCTGGGCAGCATCTGGGTCCCCTCCCTGTCTTTCCACCAGCCTCTCTCACTCACCAGCCTCTCCTGCACGACCACGACATCAGCCTGGATTTTTCTAACTTGCTCTAAGCACTTGAGCAGGAAGGTCTGGGGCAGGTTGCTGGCAGGGCGCAGGGGAGTGGCTTCTTGCACTGTCCAAAGTGCACTGTGCCAGAATAGCAGCTGAAGGGCTAGGAGCAGATGGGAGGGGCACTCAGAAGACATGCTCTCCACCCCCACCAGGGTCCCTTTCTTGAGACTAAGGACCGCCAGCCCCAGGACCACTCCGACCTCCCTTGCATGCCCCAGGCAGGCAGCTCCCGGATCCTGGGCAGGGACACTCACCCATCAGCTTCATGGGGCTCTGGACTGCAGGCTCAAGAGGGTCTGGGTGGGTCTGCAGGCTCAGGGCTCTGTCAGGGACCAGCTCCAGAGGGCCTTTATACGGAAGCCCATGAAGGCCTGGGAGGAAATTACCTGAGACTAAGGCTTAGTAATAACTTCCCAGGATTTATGCAAATTTAGTGTCCAGGACAATGCAGGGGGGTTGAGACAAAAAGCTGTTTGCGAAAGTTTTGTGAAATTGTGGAATCTCTGATTCTTCTTTGACGTAGTGCCCCCCCTCAAACTCTCTCCCTCCCCCTCAGCCCCACCCAGGCCTGAATTGCCCCAGGGTGTTTGAACAGAACCATTGAACAAAGGCCGAGCCTCCAGATAAAAGCCTTGGAGGCTGGAGTGGGGTCAGACGGAGCGGGGATAGGCAGACCTCCAGGCGGCCCCGCCCTCTTCCCCCTGGCAGATCTGTGGGCCAGCTCCCTTTGCCACTTTCCCTTGGGATAATCAAGCCCCCTACTCCCTGCCCCCAAATTCTGAGAGGAAAGAAGCTAGTTGCCCCCATTCCTACCCCCAAACTCCCACGAGGCTGCCTTCCTGAGTGCTCTCCTGAGGGGCCAGAGGCCTGGGATCGGGACATTAGGGTCTTGCCTCCTGTCCCACCACACAATTTGATGGCCATCATCCCAGATTCCTGTCCTGAATTGGTTAGCTGGGAACTCCCCAATCCCCCCCATGACTCATTCCTTTAAGCCCCTGGAATCCTGGCAGAGACCAGAGGAAACCGGATGTCTGTCCCGAATGAAGCAAGACCCTTGGAGGCTCTTGGTTCACCTAACCCTGCCCTTCCTCCTCCTACACTCCCCCTCCCAGGACAGCGTCCCAGGGCTTTGGAGTTGGGGGTCTGGGACAGGTGGCTTCCCAGGCCAGGTTCACTGCCAGCCGGAGTGTTTGTGCTGTCCTGGGGTGGAGAAAGGCTGGGGGTGAAAAAGAAGAAACTGCCCCGCTTTGAATCCTCAAACGGTGCAATGTTGGTACTGGAAGGAACCTTGGAGTCTATTCCAACCCTGTGAACTGGGCCAGAGAGGGAAGTGCCTCGTCCAAGGTCACGGGGAGCAGAGTGAGAGTTATACCCCAGGTCTCTGCCTCTGGCTGGGGAGCTTTCCTCAGGCCGCGGGGCCTGCGCAGGGCAGTCTGACTAACTGCACCCGAGGCTGTCAGTTTTCCAGTTTACTCTGGGATATGCCTGGGAACAGAGGCATCTATTTTCACCTGAGGAGTGGGTGTGTCTCTTTGGATGAGGCCATTTCTGGGGCAGGGGTGCCCCCTGGTGGTCATAGCTGGCAGGGTCTTCACCTGTGTTCTGTGCACATCCTGCCTCCGGTCCCCTGTCCTTGGCGGAGGACATTGGCCCCCTACTCCACTTTCAAGTAGGCATTTTGCCACCTTGCGCTGCCTGAATGCAGCTTTGGCTCACTTCTGTGGAGCAGAGGGCTGGATTTAACAACTGTGGAGGGCAGGAAATTCACATCAACAAACGACCCCTAAAACCTCCGGAGAACTCAACCTGCCTTAGACATTGTGTGGGTGAGCAGAGCACTCTCCATATATTATCAATGCATTCCTCTCAATAAGCCTATAAGGAGGGAACTAGAACCATTTTCCCTTTTACAGGAGACAAATCTGACCTCAGAGAGCTTAAGTAACATGCTAAGGAGCAGAACACAGAACCCAGGTCTGCCCTGGGTCAAAGTCTTAAACTTTTTTTTTTTTAAATATATCTTTATTCATTTCAGAGAGAGGAAGGGAGAGGGAGAGAGAGGGAAAAACATCAATGATGAGAGAGTCATTGACCGGCTGCCTCCTGCACGCCCCCCACTGGGGATCCAGCCCATAACCCTGCATGTGCCCCGACAGGGAATCGAACCGTGACCTCCTGGATCCTAGGTGGATGCTCAACCTCTGAGCCATGCCCGGCTGGGCCAAAGTCTTAAACTCTTAACCATCGACTCCCTTAACCAATGTTTGGCCTTCCTCAGGCCAGCTCTAGACCCAGACTTTTATCTTCATCTACAGTCCAAGTGTGTCAAATGTTTGGTTCAGAAAAATATGTGAATTCTAACAAGGGTGGCCAGAGTGTGAAAGGCTTCACAATCATGACTAAAGAAAACAGGAACAGAAGGGCTTGTGTGTGGTCTCAGAGCTAGGAGGGGGACAGGGAGAGGGGGCCACAGCCAGTGTTTTCAGCTCACCAGAAAGAGCTTTCTTTTCTTCTTTTTTTAAATCCCCACTTGAGGATAGTTTTTCATTGCTTTTCAGAGAGAGTGGGAGGGAGAGAGAGACAGGGAGAGACAGAGAAAGAAACATCGATGTGAGAGAGACACATCAATTGGTTGCCTCCCGCACGGCGCCCTGGCCGGGGCCCGGGATTGAGCCTGTACCTGAGGCACATGCCCTTGGTCAGAATTAGACCCGGGACCCTTCAGTCCACAGGCCAATGCTCTAACCACTGAACCAAACCAGCGAGGGTGGCAAGAGCTTTCTAATGGTCTGAGATGCTGGAGCGGGCTGCTTCCAGAGGAAGAGCCTTCCCGGGAAGTGCCATAGCATCCATCCCGTAGGGAGGAAATCTGAATGTTGGCTGCTAATGATATGTCAGGCACCTTCCATTATCCTTCTGTCATTTCATCTTCTCAACCAAGCTGTGCTTTTTCTCCTTATAGACAAGGGCTGGCCTCAGAGAAACGAAGGGCCTTGCCCAAGATCACAGTGAGTGGCAGAGCCGGGCAGGATTTGCTTCCCAAGCCTCTGTGGCTCCCATTACATTCCCTGCCTGTTCTTGGGCAATGGCTCAATCCAGACTTCTGCCCAACTCAGGAGAGAATAAAGAGCAGGCAGAGGAGAGAGAGCAAGAGCTTGTTACTGGCCACGGCACACACAGGCTGAGCTAGACCAAAGGGATCTCCTGGGAAAGGGTCTGGCTCCAGAGACCCCCAGTTACCCACCCTCCAGCTTTCCAAAGGCTTTCCCAGGCATTTCTCAATGTCCAGAACTGGTCAGCAACTTCCCCTCACACTTGCTGTTTCAGTCTGGCCCTGGGCTTGGAGCATCTTCATCGGGCTCCGGGGTAACTCATTTGTTGCAGATTTAGCCAGTGGGCCAAGATACGTACACCCTGAGTTAAGAATGGGTTTTCCATTTTTAAATGGTTGGGGGGGAATCAAAAGTATATTTCATAACATGTACAATCATATAAATTCAAACCCCAGTGCTCATAGATGATGTGTTTACATGTTATTTACAGCCACTTTCAAGAAGGGCGGAAGTGAGTGATTGTGACAGGCCATATGGCTCACAAGCCTAAAAATGTATTATCTGGCCCTTTAAGAAAGTTTGCAAACTGTGTACACAGTGATGTGTGCAAGGAGACCGGCAGAGATGTCCTCTGCAGCATGGCTTATAATAATAAACAGATGCTCGCCGATGGGAATGGCTAAACAAATTGTGTTCCATTCACGCCACGTATGCCTCCCTGCAGCCCACCGACTGAAACTCCACGAGGAAAGGAGTTTGGTTTATCCCACTGAATTCTCAATGCCTGGATTAGACCTCAAAACCAAGATTGAGTGAAAAGAGCAAGTTACTTTCATGTGATACATCATTTACAAAGACTTAAAGACTCAAAACAATGCTATATTTTGTAGTAAAGGTATAAAAACATAAGCTGGAAGGCTACACACTGAATTCATCATGGCTGCCTCTAGGGGAGGAAGCTAAGGGCCTAGGAAATGAACCAGGTGGCCTTCCAATTCATCTGCAGTGTTTTTTCTTGGATTAAAAACAGGACACAATAACAAAATGTTAACATTTATTAAACTTGCGTGGAAAGCACATGGGTATTGGTTATGTTGTTCTTTGTATTTCTCTGTAGTTTTCCTATTAAAAAAACAAAACTGGAAGATGGAGAACACACCAAGCTCTCCAAGCATAAAAATGACACTATGCTTCTCCTGGAAAAGAAAGCCAAGCCGATGGGGATGAGTTACAAGAAAGTTCCAGACAGTTGAGTAGACAGAACATGGTCAAGGTGAGCAAGGACCAGGAAATTATGACAAATGACTCCAAGTCTCTGTAACAGGGTGATACCCTCTCCAATCCGTTACCAAGCAAGAAAGGGTCTGAGGCACTTTGGGCCTGGTGCAGACTTTAAGATTTATAAACAATTATAAGGTTGGGCATCATCAGGAATAATTTTAATTACAATGAGACACGAAATGCATGTAAAGAGCCTCAGGCAGCTGTACCTGTCCCCTTATCAGATACTCAGAAAGTCACTTTTAGAGGTCAGGTAAAGTGGCCAAGGGCTAGGAGCCCAGGAAGCCCCCTCTAGCCTCCCCTCAACTGTGCTCAGTGAGGAGCCCATCCCCCATCCCATGAAGGCCAAATGAGAAAACCTTGCTCTCAACCGGCTGTAGCCCAGAGGGAGACCCTCCTCTCCTCTGCAGACCTCACCTGAGGGCCACACTCTTGCTTTTCTTTGATGCTCTCAAAGTCTAGATTCCTAATTTTAGAGCCAGGTCACTGAATTGAATCCTGATAGACGTGGGAAAGGAGCCTGAGAGGTTTAGTGATGTGCCCAATATTTGAGAGCCAGTTAGATTTGAAGCAGAGTAAACTCAGGCCCTTCTGACCCCAGCTGTCTCTTCGCCCTGCCCTTTGCTTCATCTCCAGCTGCATGGTCCTAACTACCCCTGCGGAGTACTCAAGACCAGGACTAAGACCCCGGGCTGTAATACTGCAGGTGTGAGAGCCAATTACAGTAATTAACTGATGCACAAAGAGCTTTGGAGAATTTTTTATTGTTTAAAAATCATAATTGAAGCTTCAAAAACATACAATCCGACCCATGTCCCAATTCAAGCCCCCTACTCCCTGGAGGAGAGCACAGGTCTTTTCCCTCCCACCTTGCGGCCCACACCACTAGCCAGGACCCTGCCCTGGGAGGCTACCTGCCCACTCTCTGGCCCACTGTGTGCT